ATGGGCTCAACCGCAAAGCATCGCAAAGCTCTCCTCGGTAATGCTGGATTTACTTGACCTTGTCCTTGGTGACTTTGCCGGGAAGCCTGAGAGCACTCGTGATCTCTTCTCGACGGTATTTCTTTTGTGACCATGTGAAGTGTTTGTGCTCCTGAGTTTGGGTCAGGGAGGCCTGCCTGTAAAGGATGTAGCCACGAACGTCCCAGGAAGATCTACACCCTCCCTGGCCAGGTTGGTGAACGCTCGCCCAATCTTCTTGGCACACTTTCCGAAGGATTCTTTTGGCTGCTTAGGCGTTCCGTAGACGACTGTCTCGAACACCCTCGGAAACGACACCTCCAGGTGCGGCGTGAATTGCTCCTTGAACTTGGCCGCGATTTTCTTCGCGCCACGCTCGGACACGATCTCCGAGACCTCTATCTATGTCGCCTACTGCCACTGCAGCCGCCCCGGACCACTGGCGTAGCAGCTTGACTCCACGCCCCCCGCTTGGCCTCCAGGATGTCGGTCTCGAACAACCACAACTGCACCTGCTTCTCGAACTGGCGGAAGGTCGTTTCTGGGTTTTCTCCATCGTAGGGCGGAGGTGGATCTCGTGATCTCGTTCTCTTGGCACGTAGTCCGCTGCCCTTCCAGTACTCGTACTGGTAGCGAAGCCTCTTGGATCTCGCGAGCGCCTCTCTCTCTGCTCATGTGCCCCCGTCCTGGACTGCCAACCGAGGCTCCGCGCTACCACTGTAGAACCAATGGATCACGAAGATGCCTCGCCCAACCCTCGGTCCTTTTCTAGGCAAAAATGTCACATGGTACGGCCCCTAGTGTTGAGCCCGAGTACCACTCGAAAGATTGGAACCCAGGACGCACGAACCATCGATCCGAGTTTCACAAAACCATATGAAACCTGGTTCTTCACTTTGTGGTGCGCTCACTGGTCACTGCAAAAAATTGCAAGCAAAAGTTGGGTATCGTCATTCAATATAAGTATAAACAGCCTGACAATATCTCACACGATCTTACAAACAGGAGGTTGCTACAAAATATTACAAAATGATCTTTTGAAAAAGTTGCCTTTCTACAAAATGACTGGCCGTGGCCGAGGCTCTATTTTGACATTCGCCTGAAATTAAGCATGACATCACTGCAAAATGAAAGGACCCCTGCCAGAGACACTCAGAACTAACTCAAATCAAGATTTGTGCAGGCCTTGGGGCCCACCATTCTGTATTGGATACTCCTATTGGGATATCCTTATTTTTGTTTGTTGATGCTTAACAATTATTTTGATACTTATCCCTTCTGATCGCGGCTTGAAAGGCAGTGTGCGCGTAACGTGGATGGACACCGTCATGGTAAACCAAGATGCCCTTGATGTCTGGAATTACTGTAATTTGTACGGAATAGAGAAGAGGGAAGGAAGACACCGATGGTCACAGACGGTTGACACGCGAAGTACGGCGAGCTGCACTCACAGGCCGCGCTCTGCTCTACCTTGTTGGGCCAGCTGTGGCGCGCCAGCCGACCACGCTGGCCACAGACAAGGTCCTTCCAGAGGGCCTCTCCCTAATGGACACCACCACGCCAAGACACCTGCTCCGCTGCGCGTCTTGACGCACGTACACAATCGTTTGGAAATCATCTTTCTGTGCCGGATTCAGATCAAGCATGGACACGCGCACCTTACAGTTTAAAGTCTAAAGATTTTCCTGGCAACTGCAGCTCTTCTTTTCGGCGTCCGAAAACAACCGCAGTGTCCTTTACGCCGTTGGCTGTTGGGCAAAAACATAATTTATCGGTGGATTTGCGGCGAAGAACGGTCAAAAGAATATTATATATATATACATCCTAGGGTGGAGGCCATTGCTTCTAGGTTGGAGCCCATTCCTATTAGGTTGGAGGCCATCGCTCTTAGGTTCCTTTTGCTATGAATTGCCGGCCCTGTGGATTCCGTTTAGACCAACTTGCCCCACCAGCTCCTTGGAGCCCTTGCGCCCTACGACTTCCAGGGGCCCACGCGCCAATCCTGTGTTTCCCGGTGTCTTTGGCAACCCACACACTTGAGAGATGACGGGCTTGCATGGTTTTGTCTTGACATTTAGTGTGGCACTGAAACATCAAGGTTGTGGTGGAAGGCCAATGGGGCGGACCCGTGGGCCGCACAACATGAGATCAACATCTTCTCATTTCCTTCGTATTTCTTTCTATTCAGGGATTTGGGTTGTGACATGTGGGTGGGTGCAAGCAAGGCAACGGGTCCGCAAACCAGTGTGGCCAGTAGTGTGGATGCAATTGGTGCCGAAAATGCCCTACTGTGCGTGCCCGCGTGCCATTCAATCATTGTATTTTGACATGTAGTTGTGATCAAGGAAGTCGCTCTGGACGCACATTTTTGTCAGTGCCTCCAGCAGTATGCTCTTACAAAAGCTTGACCATGGCAGAGGCACTACCGTTGGTCGCACTGAGGACAAGCACTGTCGGACGTTAGCGCCTTGCCATTGCTGTGCAAGTGGTGGGCCAGAGCTGCATCGCAGGACCCCACAGAAATGGCCCTCACAGAAATGGCCCTGGAGCTTAGCACCTTAGCACCTGCCTTTGTCACCGCACCCCTGCCAGCGTTGAAAGGTGTGGTTCCTCCAATCGCAGGAGGCCCAGTGCTTGGCCAAAGATCTCGACAAAACCTGTATGAAAAAGACGGTTGTATTTCTGGTTGTTATTCGCTCGGCCAGCAAGCCAGCGAACTCCTGGTTGGGGTCATCGTGGTCTTGCGCAGCGCCGCAGGGTAAGGAAAACAGATCCTGATGTAAAGAGTGAAGAGAGAGCTTGGATGGTGTGAACGATCACACATCCGCGCTTCCCGGACAGAACCATAGAGTGAACTGAAACGGGAGGGATGCTTTCCGAGAAGTTCTGGCGACATTGTGACGATTCACCTAAACAATACGTGTATATTTATATTACAGTGTACAGTATATTTTTTGCAGATATCATATATCATATATACTGCACTGTCCGCATGTGGCAAGGGTGATGGGGCAGGCTGGGATGAAGGTATGGTGCGCATAGTGGGCAAATAGTGGGGTTTGTCCTTCCACAGCACTGCTGCCTGGCCAACATAATGGGACATTGTCGAACAATGAGGGCTTGGACAATGGATGAAATCAGAATAGGACAGAGTGCAACCATGACTTCTGAAACCAGAAAAGGGCAATCAACGCTCCTCCGATTCCTCTGGAGTGGGGACAGTGGGGACTTGAGAAAACATACAACGTATGTTTTGCGGTCAGTTGCGCCAACGAGGCCTGGGCTGGTACTCTTTTTTGTTGCAATTGCTTGTTTTTCTCACCAGCACCGGGCTGTGTACAATTGCACAACCAAAAACGGTCGAGCAGACTCGCCGCAAAGGGAAACAGTCACTGCCACCAGGAAGGAGTAGAAGCTTGACAAAACGGAAAGGCAAAGAGGATGCAGGACACGGGCTTCTAGGATAACATCCAGGGTCTGGCAAGAAGCAAAGCACATCATGCTGGCGTCAGGGTGTCTCCACCTTTCTAGGTATTGTCAAGCAGGTTGTGGGCATGCCAAGCCATTTTATAACTCCTCACCCCGAAGAGACGTTCACTCCACAACCCGGGTCATATTTTCCACGAGTTGTGTTTAGGAATCTGGATAGACTTGGATGTGAAGGCCTGCAACTACTTCAGCACTCCTTTGCTTACGGAAACTCAAGCTTGTGACGTCAGGGCCCTGCCTGACCAAAACTGGACAGCAACAGCAGCACCAGCAAGATACTACCAGATACCACCAGCAGAGCTGACAGCTAACAAAACACCGTTTGTATCGCGGAGCGTGGAGTGAACCAGCAACGGCTTCTTGCCAAAGGGGGCGCCACAAGACCGTCAAATGCAGGTTCTGCCGAGCATCCGAACCACAGCGATTGGAATGGATTCAAATGGAGTGGGCCAAGAAGGGGACAACAAGGGAGTTTGACATCTTCCGGTCCCTGCCGACACCCGGGAAGGAGGCATTGTCTGGGGTAACCAAAGAGAGAAAGAGAGAGAGAGAGAGAGAGAGAAAGAGACAAGAATCTTGCCCCCCTACTGTGTACATATATATATATAATATGTATGCATAAAATACATGCAGAAAGAAAGTAAAGGAATCAAAAAAGAAACAAAAGAACTAAAGAAAGAACGAACTCTCAGAGGCTGGCTCGAAATCTCAGTCATGGCATGTACCAGGCAGTGGCCAGCACTACGTTCTGAACTGGAGAGGGCCACCCCGCCAGCAAGGTTGTGATCCGGCGGATCCTTGCTCCTAGTAGCGATGCCCATTGTTACTAGTAGCTTCTTGTTCCTAGTAGTAAGGCCAGGAGCTACTAGTAGTTAGTAGCGTCCTTGCTCCTAGTACTAGTAATTTCTCGCTTTTCGCACCAGCTGGAGTCGTTGATTGCAATCGCTCCTTCGTCTTTACTGCCAAGGTAGATGCTTCAACAGCAATGCGTTCGCGAGGCGTTCAATCTTGCAAGCCTGATTGCAACAAGCATGAAAACTCGACGATATTTTTGGTCATCCGTCTGTTACTGCTTCTGCAGTGCGTCAAAGGCGTAGGACTCTTTTATTCCTTTCATGAAGTACGACGAAGGACCAGATAGGCGCTTTGTTTCTGAGCAACATAATCTTCTACAAAACTGCAGCGCGGGTTGACCATGAGGTGAACGTTCTTTTGAACACACTCTTACAACAGCAGGGGGGTCCTCCAGCATGCTCTTGCCTTTTCTCACCGACAGCACTTGAGCAAATGTGAGAATCCTCTGTGAGACGGACCAGGCGGCATTTGGACCTCAGTCCTCGCTCAATTATCGCTTGTGCCAACACAGACAGGCTCGGAAAAGCCTTGACAACCATCTTATCGAAATCGAAAGCAGACATGAATTGGCCATGCTGATCAAACAATCAGAAACTCACTTCACAAGAACAAAACCATATAAAGCTTGTGTTCTCCAATGACTCCAAAAATCTCTGCGAGGCACTCCAGCACAGCATGACGAATGGTATTGATATTGGCTCCACACAAATGTTAAATCTCCTGAAACACTCTGGAAAGCCCTCAAATAGCGACCAGTAGGACGACATACGACCTCCTTATCTGTGCGAATTTGCATGGCTCCCTGCTTCCACTCTCAGGCCTTCCAGCCTGGCACTGGGCCACTAGGCGCCACGACGGAAAAGGACCAGGGCACGGAATGCCAGAAGAACTCACGACACCTCTTATCACCACTGATATTGAACTTCTTGTACGATAGCGCAGTCAAAGGCATGACCAGCGAAACAATTTGAGTGCCAGTATGTCACGAATTAAAACCCAAAGCAATACGACGCACTCTTCTTGATTCGTTACTCGACATGAAATGTTCGAAGCCCCTACGGCAGCTCCTCAACGTTTTTCCCTCAGCTGCTCTTTCAACTTCTGATTCTCCTGAAGGCATCGCAAGCTTTACTCATCCGAGCTTAACTCAACGGTCTGCCCAAGTCGTCAGAATTCAGTGAAACAACTCTGCCAACATCTGATGAGAATGGTGGAGTTTTGCATCAACAGGCTATGGATTCCTCCACAGTGCTGTTCTATCTGGCCTTGTAGAGATTGTCGCATAACTTGTCGAGTGCATCACGTTGCTTCTGCATCACCTGGCATCGATTCAGGGAAGTTTATGGGCACGAATTTGCTTCCAGGAATGACGTCGCAATCGCTGTGGTTCAATAGATTCAAAAACCCATGTACCGCGTGCGCTCAAAGTCTAGGATGGTCATCCCGAGTCCGCCGCAGCGTCCCAGAGCCTGCTGCTCCGAGGCAAGCTCCGAGAGCCGGGCATTGTTCCGCAGCTCTGAGTTCTCCTTCTCCAGCTCCTGGTTGGAAGGCTGAGATCTGAAAAGGTTTTCTATTTATCCTACTTATTTTCCACTAGCCCGCGAACCACATGCTTTTTGAGAGTTGAAGCACACCAAAATGCAGAACCAATCGTATTGATCCTGTCCAGGCATACCGTTTCGCCTAAACGAAAAACAATAAATGAAAGAAACACCCTTTTCTTCCAAGGAGCACTAGCTTGTGATACCGTCACAAAATTCCTCAGCTTTATTCAAGCCCACCTCCATGTGAGCCTGGAGGGAGTCGATCTCTTCCTTGCATTCACCTAGTGGAGGGAAGCTTCGAAATCGAGCCTCTTCATGGCATCAGTGCGCTGTGCTGGGGCGAGAAGTCGAGAAGTTCACCATACACTACTCGGCTCTTCAGCCTAACAAGTACAGGACAAAGCATGAAGAAAGCTGATCGCCGTTTTGACGGTGTGCCTCCAGCAGGGGTTCCAACTTCTTTCAGCATTATTTGACAACCAGGAAGCATCCCAACATGATCTGCACTGGTGGTGCTCTGTTTCCGCCCACCCCTGCAGTCAAGCTGCTGTGTCGCTTGTTGGAACCAGAGACCTGCTTTGAGAACTCATCCTTAGCTCTTACAACTCCGCATGGGCAGCTCATAAGTTCCTCATCCTCTGACCAAAAAAGCAAATGGGGGCCCAGCAAATTTCTTCAAGATGCCTTGCGGATGGCGCTGAAATACCATGTGTTTTCACAAAATGCGTTCTAGTCTAGTCTTGTTGAGCGAGTAGGGCTGAGTAGGGTTGGGCAGTGAGATTTCAAAACATGACCCTCAAGTAATCAAATGCCCTGCCATCCTACGAACCGTTGCGTCTAATTCAAAGTGTTGACGATCAAAAAGTCAATCTTTTGCGGTGTCCTGCTCTGGGTCCACTGGATGGATTGATTGCTCTGGCCTTGTAAGTCACTCTGGAGCACGGCTTGCGTCTTGCGCAACGTCTGCAAAGCCGGTGTGTATCCGGAGATCAAAGGGATGATACTGCTTCCCCGTCAGCACTTTACTTGCGCTCGAAGAGTAGTGACTTATGCCTGACATGACTATCAAATCCTTCCAGTGTGAGGAGCCCAGCTGCTCGTGATCGAAAAACAAGTTATCTTCCCTAAAGGATGCCAAGGACTGTGTAAAAGAGTGTCCCCAAAAAAACTCCACGAACCCAAACAACTTGACAACGTATTACAACTTGACAACCCAAATCCGCCCGCTTGCTCGGGGTGCCTCATTTTGCTTTTCCAACTGGGTGGCATTTGCTCTGGAGGACACACACATCGCCTAGCGGCAAGGACAACGAAGCATGGAAGGTGCCAACAATCACCGAATCTCAGAACAAAACCGGGAGGAAACTCTTATATACACACAGTAATTAACTTAATCCTGGTTGCTCAATGGAAGAATCCACAAACCAAAAACTTACTGTACAAAATATGCGTTAGGGGCCTGGACATGACATGGCTCACCTGACATGTGCATGGGCAGCACTAGTGGCCTCGTGTTCCTTCAGCCGTTCTGTGGCCGCCTGCAGGGAACAAATGGGAATAACAGGTCACAGTCGCAGAGTCAGAGTTTTATTGTATTGTTTAGCCCGCGCCCCCTCCTCCTTACTTAATTAAGTAGGCGCCTACTCAATTGAGTAAGGTAAGCTACTATCTTACTGTAGCTACTAGTTATATACTAGTAACTGGACGCAGGATAGCTCACACACTAATGATTTGGTTTCAATATTTTTTGGGAAACAGTTCAGAGTGGTTCATGTTGATAGTTGTGGCCATGTCCGCAGTGTATCGAAGGCCGAAGCACGATGAAACGATGGGTGGTGAAAGTGTATTCGCAGATTCCTCTCCACCAATCTTGCGACTCTTACCGACTCCCATACTCTGACAAAGCAGTGAACAATATGTCATACCAATTGAAGGCAAGTTCTCACTGCATCTTTACAACCACCCACTCGTGTCACAGGACGATGAATGACATGGCACCAGGTCTTGATGTGGATTTTTTATGATTTTTTAGCTTTGTTCCGCCTGCATCTCCTTCTCTCTAGCCTCCTGTTGCTCGGCGAGTTGAGCCTCCTTGCACAGCTTCTGCTGATTTCACCAACATCACAACCAACAACTGTTCAACCCAAATGAATGGACACTGCAGAATGTTTGGAAAGCCCACCAAGTTGCCTGAGCTTCGTAAGTCTCGTTGAACTTTTGCAACTTGCCTTGCACAGCACATGTGGAATGATCGAACTGACTCTGACTCTGTTGATGTATGAATTGACTCATTAAATAATACAGAGATGACATCCTGACTCTTGCCCAACTCCTTGCTCTGAGGCCAGCAACTTCGCAAATCATCGTTTTCTTTGAGGAAGCCATGGCGTACCTGGCTTGTCAACAAGATAAGCAAAAAATGTTCAATCAACAGCAACAGTGAAAGTAAGATAAAGTAATGACAAACTAAAACAATTGCAGATTGTTAGTAGATAGTAAATGACTGTGCTCATCTCTGAACACGGCCTCGAGCTCTGCATCCATCTTTTCCTGTACATCTTTGATGGCCACCTGAAACTTTTCCTTGAGCGCCAGGGCCACAAAGGGGATGAGCACGATCAGCACTGATCAATTCTGCAACCCTCCAAAGAATCTTGGCATGTCTTGGCCTTAACAACTCAAGGCCTTTGCAACCCAACCATTTGTTTTCTAAACAAAATAAATTTTCGCGAATGATTTCAGGCCACTTCCGGGTCAGGTGTCTCAAGTCTGGCAAGAACGACTCGGCTCTCGAACGGTTCTCGACCGGCTCCATGAGACGGCGGTCTCGAACGGAGCTCCTTGAGCTCGGAGTGCCGCTGTCGCTCCTCTTCCGCGATCTTTTGATTCTCCTGCTGCCGTGGTCATCGAGGAGAAGACGGAAAGACAAAGACCGAAGCACACAACATCGTGAAATTACTTTTTTGGCGCAGGGGGGCGGCGAAGGCAGTAAGAGTACGTTAGTAAGCTACTAGTAGCCATTAAGTAGGCCGCTACTAGTATCTTGGACGCAGAAGTTCTCAGACTTCTTCAAGGAAACTCCCTCCGCCTGAGGGCGGGGAGCTTCATTGAAGGAGCCAGTAGATTTGGGAGGATACTACACTTAACCTTGCCGGACATTGAACTACTGTAAGCAAGTACAAAGGGAGTTGTTTTCCTGGACGAGAAGGTGCAGGTGTTGGTCGCGACAGTTTCTAACAAAAGGCGTTACATGTTCGTTCATGTAGAGCCTGGACATGCCTAGACTCTCACTCCTTGGCCATGCTGTTCATTTGGTCTTTCTGCTCTCTGCAGCAGCCCTGAGCGAAGTGCTGATGCTGGGCATCCACTTCCATTTGGGACTGCCCAAAGAAGTACCGGAGCACTGAGAGGTCAGATCTTCCCTAATCTGATGCTTGCTCATTGGCGTGCTCTCCCACCTCCAGCTTTCCCTTCATGCTGCTGAGGCGTTGAGCCTGGTGTTGGAGTTGGGGCAGAAACAGCGTTGGACAACCCACCACACAACCTTCCTGCCTTGTCTCCAGGTGGAACACTCAAGATCAACACGCAAAAGTCTTCCAGAACGCAAGAGGTGCGTAATGGTATCAAAGCAAAATAACAGAAGCACGCTAAATGCTGAGGGAACACTTCTTAATAATTAGTCTACGACTCCACCTACCCAAAAAGATCCAATTCGCCTCGGCATCGCATCGCTCGCGATCGGATTGGAGGGTTTCTAAGCGCTTCTGAATGGAGGCCTGGAGGAAGCCAATTGCGAAAGCTTCAATCGGTTCAAAAACATCAGAGAACGTAGAAGTAAGTAGTGTTATATATATATTATAGTAGTATATCGCTTTGTTTTTTGGTCTACCCACTCTTGTCCCATAACCCCCGTGAAGGTCTCTTCAAAGTATCTCATAGAACGAGCATGCGGCATGCGTCTTGATGAAGTTGGCCAATGTCCTTGGAAAAACCTGAAACCCTGTGGATTGTGGCAGGGAGGTTCATATTTTGAGAGCCTCCAAATTCTTGTATAAATTCAATGAAGAAAATAGAAGGATAAACAAAGTAGACAAAAAAAAGGATGCTAAGGCCCTTTTAAGGGACCTTGCTGGTATGATTGCCTTTCGTTGTTCATCTGTGTTCCTCCTTTGTCTGTCCAAATTCAAACTTTGACTCGCCTTGACCTCCTCGTGCGCCCTAGTCTCATCGATCCGCTGTTGGAGCGCCTCAACGAGTCAAACAGGCTTTGACATCTTTTACATCCTGACGGATACTAGTAATCTAGTATGTGCAAAATCCACTCAAGACAGGATCCATCAATGACCGAAACATGTTTTTAGTGTTGCAATGCGTTTTGAAGCAATTCGTTGGTGTTCAACACACGGCCAAACGTCAGACCTTGGTGGCAACGCAGTCCACTGCCGGCATCCAACGCATTGTTTCACAAAAAGCCATGACAAAACATGTTTAAGTGTATATCAGCATCTGTTTAAACTAGGGTGCGCTCACTTGGGTCCTAACCGTGTTTTGTCTTTTCTAAAGACCCTGAAATCTTGCTGGTGCACACCTCATGGAGGATCCGGATCTTCTCTTCATCTGAAGTCTTGGGATCCTGCAATCACGGCTCGCAGAGTCGCTCAACCACAGTCACCCCACGTCATCTCATGTCGCCTCGTTCCATCTCGTTCCCACTTGGAGGAACTGTTCTTCAAGGTTGGCGAGGATGTTCCCTTCTGCACTTTCCCCAAAACCCTCGGACTCACATAACCTGACCCATGTGCATCACAGCTCCTCCACGGAGGCTCGGATTTTTTGGATCTCTGCCTGCACAAGGCTCGGTTTTTCTCCGGTCAATCTCCGCTGGCGCCAAGAACACGCAAATCGCGAGGAATCGGAACCATATCATTGGTGTGTCAAGGAAAAGGAGCTCTTATTTGACTTCGCCACAAGGTTCAAGAGCAAAGGGGTTACAAACATGCTGAGCATGACCTTGCAACCTAAGGTGTTCCTGTGAAGCCTCGTCCCCAATTCAGCTATTATAGAGAGGGAGAGAGAAAAAATATATCGCCAGGTGGCCTTCCAATCTCTCGAAGGCTTAAAGCTTAAGGCCGGATCTTCTACCGCCTTGCTCGAATGCCGCTACAAAGCGGAGTCGGGCCGAGATGACCAACTACAATCACTGCCTTCCAATCAAGCAGCCAACAGTTCCCTTGACTAGGCCAGGCGCTTGTGACTCAAATCACTCTGGAAACATGCTTGAAAAAGCTCTGAGATAGTATGTGAAACGCGCAATGTTAAATAGGGGGCTGATGAGTCTGACGAAAACACGTTGGATCATCCAATCCCATCAAAATCACGACAAGGAGCTCTGAGCCGCGTCTCACTCCTTGGGGCACCACCCTCACTGCCTCAGCATCAAAGAGTATGCATACGCCAAACACATTCGTACAAGTTGCAGAAACAATGCAGAAACATGTAGAGCACCGTTCCTTGGTACAGTTCCTCCGCAAAATAGTTGTCTTGCCTACATCTCTTGGAGGCCAAACACACATGTTTCATAAACAGGTAAAAGAAAGCATGTCCAACATTTGCAATAGCATGATTGGTTGACCAGTCAGTGCATGGAGTTGAGGCGGATATCAGTGGGCCATGTGTGGTCCCTATCGATGTTGCCAAGTGGCATGCCGCGATCTGTCGATCCACGGACTCGTCCTGCGACTACATTGCTACATGATTCACAAATAACAGAAAGGCATTGATCTGAGATGATCTGAGATCTAGCGATGCTTAGGGGTAGATGTTTGTAGGCTCTTTGTTGTTTCCTACATGTCGACCTCTCAGAGTTCAACTTCCAAGGTGCACATCCCTCTTGGAAAAGCGTAGACCTGTTTGCATCTGAATGCAAGGTCTAGATCTCCTAGAAAAGGAGCTCGAAGTTGTGGAGCTCTCAAATAAATGTTGCTCAGGTTTTGGTAAGTTCGGTGTAGACCTCTCAAATAGAGATGCACATTAAAAAGGCTTTCCAATGTGCATCTCTCAGATAACTTGTTCCATGTGTTCATGTCAAACAACTAAGTCCCGATATGTCCAAGGTGGTTTTCTTTCAGCTCACTACGTTCGCAACAATTACAAGCATGTTCGTCAAATAGTTGTCTCAAATCTCTGTGTGGATCCAGTCTTCTAAAAACGCCACAGCTTGTTCCGACAAGAGGCATCAATGTTGTACTTTTACGCCTTTGTCCGTGTAGAAGCTTCCCCTGAAGCGATTCCTCTCTGTCCTCAACTTTCTCCTTCATGGGCAGTGCCTGGAGGAATTGACTGACGGTCCAAACTTTAATCATTGCGCAACAAACTGAACTGCGATTTGAATGCCACCGCATTTCATGAGTGCTTGCGACTGTCCATCGCAATGAAACCATCATCTTTTGATCCAAACACTGACAGTGCTGGAGTCGACCATCTCAGGCTGCAGCCGAAGAAGATGAGGAGGAGCAGGATGTGGTCGGAGCCAACAAAGCAGACGACATGGATGTCGCACCTTTCGTATCAGCCTCGTGTTGCAACAGGTTGCCGACAATTCAGCTTACAGTAGTGGAATCAGAATCCCATCTCTCTATGGAGATCCCAAAGATATCTTGGCTGGCGATGTGGAACCAATGCTAAAATCATGTTGAAGGTACCCAATAGATTGGTATTCTGCAACCACTGCATTTTGCTATGCGCCTAAGCATATAGTGGAAACATGTTTCTATAAAAATGTTGCCAGTCCTAACTGGATCTTGCGGCCATAGAAGAAAAATACTGGCAGTACCTGGATTTCAACAGTCCTAACCTGCCACAGGCTCCCCGGCGCAGTCTGCCTCCTCTTCCTCCTCGCAATCCGCTTCCTCTCCTTCAGGAAGCTCACCTTGTGAGGAGGAGAGCTGCATGAAAATTGAGTCATCAGCAGGAAGCAGGAGCGACTGCTGTGATGGAGTGTGGCTGGTGATGGAAGTGGAGTGATTCACTTGGAACACAACAAATTCAGCAATGTTCAAGTCTGGCATCTTGTCTCACAAGAGCATATTGAGTTCGTTTCCCAAGAGCGTTTGGCGCTGGGCACCAGCCCTGCATATATGGGATGTGCATTGATAGCTCTTGCAGCGGCATGAAGTTGCAGGAACTACTACTGAGTATTGCCCCTTGCCTGTGCCAAAAGTAGCTTCTGTCCCGCTGCTTGATTAGCCCTGGTTCTAGAGACAACCTATTGAAATACACGTGTCTTCAGCGATGTTCAGCCTCCAAACAACCAACTTAGATCCTTCAACCACCGGTTGCACTTTGGAGTGGACTTCCGACTTGTCCAATCCTGGCCTCCAACCGGCCGGCCGCCCACCGGGGAGGATGATCCCATGCGGACCCGCCCCGGAAGGCGATGGCGATAGCTGTCAGTGCCGAGCTAAGCTGACACAAGTGCTCTCGTGTCTTTGTTCGATCATTCTCGATTCTAGGTCTTCGGTTTTTCTGAACGTAAAGCTTGACAACTTCAAGCTCTTGTGCAGTGGAAGTGCGCCAGTACGCGAGTTCTCTATTTGCGGTCTTGTGTGAGAGTCAGTGCAAGGTTGATTGGAAGCGCATGATAACTGGAGTCGGGCTGGATGTGCGAAAAGCTCAGCAGGATAATCTGCTGGAGCATCTTGCGTACACAAGCGGGTCAAGCATAATCGCTGGAGCTTATCTCAATGAGGACATCTGTTGCATTGGAGTTTTCGGAGAGAATTTCTGTGTGGTTGAGTGAAAGCCCTTGGAACAGCTACTCTTCCACCGTTGACCTTGCACGCGATGGGCATCCGGGCTTCTCGAGCAAGAAGCAGATGAGAAGAGTCCAAAACTGCAAGTATTTTGCTCCAACAACACAACATGTCTAACCTGGCAATCCCAGGCATCTCCGGCTGCACACAACTGCAAACTAGCGATTCACCCGCCCTCAAGGCGCAACTGCCCATTTTCCGAGTCAGCGATTGCTAGGCTTGCTTCCACGCCAGGTTGGTGACCTGCAGAACGAGCTGCTGAGTTGCTTCATACTTTGAAGGCTCCAAGTTTGATACTGATATCAGATCTATCATAATTCTATCTATGGTGCTTGTTCAAGGTTGTGGACATATTTTGTGTAGCTTCCCAGAAAGGCTGCATGACAAGTCAAGAAAGAAATGGTTGCAAATCGGTTGTTTTGGCGGTGTACCTGGTCCACCACTAGCTGCCACACATCAACGTCTGGTCCCAAAATGCACAGGTGTTTGGCCAGCGAACACTAGCGTCATGTTTGCGCAGAACGAGTTGCAACCCCGTTTGGGGGGCCCCAGCGTTCTGCGGGAAACTAGCAAATCTGGATCGGCAACAGATTTGATGGATGCAGGCTTAAAAACTCGGCAAAAAAGGGCCTTTGAGTTACAGCTGTGACTTCTAGGCACGTCTGGAAGGTGCTCCAAAAAACACAAAGGCTGATTGGGCAGTGTATATATACGTTTTTTCCAGGAAATAGGAAACACCTTCCTCGCCAATTGAGTTGCACAGCCAACAGGGTGTTGCCTCTGCTTCACACCCTGCAAATCCCCCAGTCAATCTGACCGAACGCAAATGAAAATGCTCATCTCTGATGTTTTGGGAGAGTCTCCCAAGCTGGAGGTCTGGGGGATCTGAGCCATTCGACTAGAAAGCCAACTCAGGGCACGGCACAATGCAAACCAAAACAAGCTGTTCAGCTGCTTAGCTCGCTTTCCCTGAACCAAGCGACTATGCAAACTTTAGCATACTATATACAGGAATGACATCCTGCTACGGCTAAGAACACGTGTTTGGCACAAGTCCCAAACTGCCAAACTGAACGCAAGGAAAAAGAAGAATCTGTATTCAGCGCTCTCTGCCTGGACCTAAGGGAACCAGTACTTGCTCAAGATTGTGCCTCAAGTGCCCCGAGAGCCATGGCTCACGCGGTGGGCGTGATCCAGCCAGAAATCCAACGAAAAAATCGCTGTGAAACGCGTGGTATTCAGCTCTCCAGGATCAATGCTTTCGTTCTTCGAACTTCTTTGTGACAAACATGTGGGCACAAAAAGAACATCAGATCAGTGAAAATACTCAATGTCCTATCGAGTGAGTTAGAAGAGATTCTATCCAAAGTGACAAGCAGTAGACATGAACATGTTACTCCAAAGGCTTGACCATAGGAGCTCTTGTTCCTAGTAGCGTCCTCTTATTACTAGTAGTAATGCCAGGAGCTACTAGTGGCTTCTTGCTCCTAGTAGCGATGCCCTTTGTTACTAGTAGCTTGACCATAGAGTGCTCCCTCACACCATCACTGGTCACCCCCGACTTTTGAGGGTCCGATCCCAATGGTCCGTTTTCTCAGCCAGCCTTTCCGAACAGTCCAGACGTATCAGGTTGCAAAAAATAAACATCTGAACAATCTTGAAGCACTTCAAATATTTCAAACACTCGTTTTCTATTTTGTTTAATATCTTTCAACCATCTGAGTCTGAGCCGAAAGAGGTAAAACGACACAGAACAACTCTTTCAAAATGACCCCGTCTGGAAATGCTGACTGGGACCTTGTGCCTTGAGAAAGCCTGCTGCATCTCAACATGCTATGAAGTTTGCATCTTAGGCTGGCAGATGAAGGCCGGGCAGTCACTTGCGCACTGGGAATTTCGGTCACTTGCGCACTTTGGGTCACTTGCGCACTTGGCATCAAAAATTTAGGTCACTTGCGCACTTACCTGCTTCCTAGCAACGGGTGGTGCCTACTCCACATGCAACTAGTGAATGGGTTGGGGTGGGGGGTGGGGGGTGGGGTGGGGGGGTGGGGGGGGGGG